TCTCTGTTTGACGTTAGTTAAATGGCCCACTAGCCTTTTTTATTTGACTGTTTTCAGAAAATAAACTGGTACAGGAATGTGTAAAGTACAAAAGCAGACAACAAATACTGTATATAAATACATATCACCGCATGATAACACAGCTGAGTAATTAAAGTTTTTGGTCTATAGATCAATTTGGTTTCTTTCATACAGTTTTAACTTGCAATGAACAGAAGATAAAAAATAGATTAAGAAACAGAAGCCCGTATAAACATAGAAAAGTCTAATTCCAAAGATGAGGTCAGTATTTGGAACAATTCCACTCATGAACAGAAATAGGCACTGCATATATTCTGAGTAATTCAGAGTAATACTACTAGTACTACTGAGTAGTACCTCAGCTTGATATCAATATTCACCTCAACAAGAAATTATCAATAAAAACTTGATAAAGACTTAATTGTTACACAGCTATTGTACAGAAAATAAGGTGCAGAAAATTTAAGAATCTTTATATGTTATATATTAAGGAACAGGAAACGGGCTCCACGGCCAAAACATTGCGTTTCCCTTCTTTTCAGCATGGAATAAACCCGTTACCTGTTCCTTTGCAGCCTACACATGCTGACGCAGCTACGTACTTGATCTGTTATATGTTAATATTATATTTATGTTACTCTCTTTAATTATCAAGGGAAATTTACAGATTAAGATCTGGATACATTTTTTGGCATGGGGATGTAGGGATAATTTTTGGTGTACGCAAAAAAGTGTACATCAAAATCCTTTCAAGAAAAACATGTTTAATTTAAAGACTTGCTGGCACACAGTGAAAATGATGAAGATTCATATACAGTGTCTTTACACACCCTTTCAAGAGTGATGCATTATGTGGTTTAACAGCCTGAAATCAAGAAAACATTAAATCAGAATTTATTTTACCTTCACACACAGCAAATTAGATCTGGTCTGGTGGTTAATTCAACTAAAACAAAAGAGTCAATTATCAAAAAGACCTCCCAGATAAAGTTGTGGGTAGGCAAAGAGCAGGAGACAAATACAAAAAGATTTCATCATCCTTTGCTTTTCTTTGAAATATGGTAAAGACTGTTATTGAGAAGTGGAAGGTATATGGCACCTCCAAGACCCTGCCTAGATCAAGATATTCATCTAAACTTGATGACAAGAAGACAATATCCAAAGCACTCCTGGACTGTAAGGCAGGAGGGCAAAGAAGGAAGGAGAAAAGAAGGATGTAATTACTGAAAAAAACAGCAACACAATATTAATGTGATGCTAATATACTACTGATATTATTACTATTAATATGATATTAATTTGGCCTATATGCAAAGTATTATAGCTGATTCAAACCCAACACAGTTCATCACCCAAAGAACACTATCGCTACCATAAAGTGTTGCTGGGACATTTCTCATTGACAGAGACTGGGGTACTTGTCTGGATAACAGGGAAAAAGAATGGAGCAAAGTACAGAAAGTCCTTAAGGAAAACCTGCTGCCTTCTGCTAGATCGCTGAAACTGGGACATAGGTTCACCTTTCAACAAGACAAAGACCCTAAACACATAGCTAAAGTAACACTTAAGCTGCTAAAACATCAGTCAGGGCCCAGTCAGAGCCCAGTCAGAGCCGGACCTTAATCTAACTGAAAAACTGTTGAATGACTTGAAGGTTGCAGTCCTTCAAAGGTCTTCCTGCGATCTGACTGCTCTTGAACAGTTCTGTATGGAGTAATGGGCAAGCTTTGCCAAATCTAGAAGTGCTACATTGGTGCTACCTATCCACACAGAATTGTAACTGTAATTGAAGCAAAAGTTGTGTCCACCAAGTAATAACTTGAGGGTTTGTTTATTAAACAGAATTTCTGAGCATGTGTTTTTCACGGTTTTGTGCTACAATGTGTAAATTGAGGTAAATAAATTGTGATTTAATGTGTCTTGATTTCAGGCTGTTAGGCCACAAAATGTGTTACTTTGGAAAGGGTGTGTAGATTTTTACAGGCACTGTATATAATCATGCATGTATGTATAATAAATGTCTTATTACTAGCTATGCACATGGAATCATGTACTTAAAATTAAATACAATATATACGTTTTGTAACTGTATGTCATACATATTACTCCTCGCTCTTTGGTTTTATATTCAGAAAACTAAAACATAACACAATGCTACTTGCCAAGAACTTTTACACTCAGTTTCTCTGATTTTTGGTATTTGAAAGCATTTACATTGCTTATATTATATAAATGACCAAGCCCAAAAGTAATACAGTAAGACTGGAGTGATTTAAATATTATGCAGTACAATTAAAGTCACAATCTACAAGACCCGAATGGAATAAATAATTTATAGAAAAAATACCTATATAGTATTATCAGAGAAAAAACCCAGCCCATTGTGAAAGGAGGTCCTCCACATCAGTTTTGGTCACCCACACTCTCCATTCTATACACTACAGTTGTAGAGCTGTCCTCATTGGACTCAGGAGACACTTTTTTCCAGAGAGTATCTTTAAGAGCTAGCTCTTGCTGAAGGCTTTCGTAATCCATTGGTCCAAAGGTATGCTGCTGTTTTAAGCAACATGAATAATACATTAGTTCTTTTGAAAACATGGAGAACAGAAGTGGCACTTAGTTTGAGCATTTGGAAATTAGTTCAGAAAGCTTAAAACTCCCCAATAGCCTGACAATGCAATTACTCTCACAACGCAAATCCTGGTACTGGACTTTCAGTGATTACAGAACTTACTTCAAAAGGATTACCTTAGCTTTTCACTTCCAAAACTACATTCACTTACCACTCTACCTAAGAGTTACATTCCTAAAATGGCTATAAAGTTTAATTGAAACAAAATATAGTTTAATTAGAAGACTGTTCTGTAATATCTAATTTTTTGATTAATGCAGCAAACATCATCATGTACACCTTTACTGCATAGTACTGAATAATAAACCCATCTGAAAAGAGGATAAAAGCAGCAAAAACAAGAACCATCTTTTACACATTACAGAGATTAATTTACACAACAGAGGATTTTTTTTCAGATAAGATACGAAAATGTTTAGACATACATTCAGGTTTGCAGCCATTTATACAACCTCTAAACAATATTTACTGTTGTAAACATTGTTGTAAAAATATCAAACACAAACAACATGTTAAAACAATATAACTAGGCAAATTACATTATATTTTGGTAGGATATTATTAGTAGAAATACAATAGTATAATATAAGTGATAGTATATACATATATTGTACATGTGGGTATTCCTTTAGAATATAAAAGGAATATTATTTACCAAATTTTCAAAATGAAGAAATTCATAAACAATACATGATCTTTTTAACATTTTTTGAAACGCAAGTCAAACTTTTTCCAATATAAACTCTTACAGAAGCTTGATTTTACTTGTTTAATTTTGTAAAATAGAAAATCATACTACATTAAATCAGGCTGCAATATTAATGCAGAAAAAATACATTAGGTTATTTGTACAGCCTTGATTCCTTGAAACAGAAATGTTACCATTACTGAATGGGTTTACCCAGTTTACTTGATATTAACATTAAAACGTGGTACAAATGTCAGAAATGGGCTACTTATAAATAAAGACATAGGTGTCTTGCAAACAATGTTAAAACAGACTAATTAAATCAAAGGATTCAAGATTGTAATGTATAAGGTTCTAGTAAGATGTCACTTAGTATATTACACACAATGTCAGGGCCATGCTACAGATGCTGTCACTAATGAGAAATTAACTGTTAAAAACTTTAAGTCTCCTTTTCTATGCACACCTGAGGTGACTATGTAACGCAAGATGACCTCTGCATGCTCCTAGCCAAGCAGGAGACAATTTTTGCTTGTCCTCCTGAGGCATCCTAACAAGACACAAACAGCATGTGCTGAGAATAATGTGATTACTACACTTATCATCTGTATAATAATCTTTATTATAAAGTATATAAATCTATAAACTACTGCCTAAAAACTCTGCCAGAAAGTCTTAGTTTTATAATAAAACAGCACATCATCATCATCATCATCATTGTTATTGGAACCACATAAGTTACATTCCAATATGACGCAGGAGCAAATGCTGCATTGTTAATTTTTAGCAAAAAGGCAAGTCAAGTAAAACTACAGTAAACCAAACAAAACAGAATTAATTTAATGATTAAAACACTTTGTCAGCAATAATAGTACCACAAACACTGAAATGCTGCTGTAATGTTAGCCATGTGGTCTGAACCACATGGAGCGAAGAGAGTCTCTATGAGGCAGACATCTCATGAAGGCAGTCAGAAGCCAGATAATACCACTGCATGCAACAACACAGCAGCCATGCAGATCCAGATAGTGCAATCAGATAATGTCTCCACTCGTTAAGAGACAGCACAGACAGAACTATACCTGGAAAAGTCAAGGTCCAACAGCACGTTTCACTGGTTGCTGAATTATGGAATGGCAAATTATGCAAGGCTGTTGCTCATTAACTCTGAGATAGCCCACAGGCAGGGGCACATTAGAAAAGTCTCTTTCATTAAGTAAGCAGGATCAAAATGAAGGTCTGAGGTCATATCATAGTTGTGGAAATTGTATCAACCACAATCTCTTAAGATTCCTAGACAGCAAGCAAATGTGTGGAAACTGTACGAGTTCAGTTACTAAAAATCAACCAATCAACACAAGATAATGCTAAAAACTGACCATTCAACACAAGATAATGGAATTAAAAAGTGAATAGGTTCTTTTCACATGCTGGGATATTGACAGGAAACGAGGTGCACACTGTTGCAGTTATTGGTATGGAAGTTCTGTTAATCAGGTAAAGAGGGATATTAACCTATTCAATAATGGTAACACTTTTGGTAAGGGTAACACTTTTTTACATTTGAAAGAGAACTACAAAACACCACATACATATCAAAATGTGGTAATGTGCAACAATATTTAAATTAAATTAGCTTAAGTTTAGAACTTCACTTACCCGCTGGTCCCCTCCTTCTCTGCGAGGATCGAGTTTCTTTGCAAAGTGCCTTAAGTTGTCATAGTTGTGGAAATTGCACAAGGCCACCAGATCCTGTAACAGATAGCAATCCAGTGTAAGGCAATTCTGTTTTAAGAATGTATTTTAAGATTCCAAGTATAATTTGACAATAAAAAAATTAAATGACTTCACAGTCTCCAGAATTATTATATAATTTAAATATAACACACTTTTACATTAAAATACAGGCAAGAAATACTAATACTATTCCCATAATTACTTAACAGCTTAACACACCGTGCTTATTTTGTCTCTTTATACCACCATGTTAATTCAATTTGACATACGTTTTTTATACACCCCATTAGACAACAGTATGGAATCATCTAAATATTTAGTAGGTAGTAACCGTTGCTCACTAAATATATACATTGATTGTCCAGATGGGGTACAAAATTATTATTAAGTAAATTATTAAGCAATTTAAGTATACTGTTTTTATCATTTGTAACAGAATTGGTCTTTAATAATCAATTACATAAAAACATTTCACTAATGGATTTTAATTGTAGCAGTGTATTCATAAACTCAATAATCATAATTTTGCATATTCACAAAAAGTTTTAGTGACCACTTTTCCCACATTCACAGACCAGTTTCGCCTATTTCTGGGCTGCGCATTAGGAGAGTGAATATGGGCATCCACTTCCACTGCATTTTTGTCTCTGTAGTAAAGGCAAAGCTATGCTAACATAGCAGAGTTAACATTTATGTAGCGATGCATCATGTGTTATGCTTTAGTTATTCAGTTTCCTTTAGGAAAGGGTTAGATGTGTCTTGCGTGTAGACCTGTTATCAAAGTGATGCCTCTATGTAATACCAGTGCTGTGCTGCAAAATAAAATAAAAGTTAATTAACAAAAAACTCTGTGGTTTCCTTATTTGACACAGTCATATTTCTTTGAGTGTAACATGGAAAATAATTTAAAAATATATATTATAAGAAAGAGAATTAGACAGATTTCAAGAGCAGGAGCAAGTTGACCTAGTGTGAAGAGAGTGATTACACTAAGTTTCCTTTCTTTACTTACCAATAAAGGGAACCATATCTAACCAAACAACTTAAAATAGCTCTCTCAAACATAAACATGCATATATGTTTAGAAACAAAAACAACGAGGTCTGTAATGATTTAATTACAAATTCAACATTTAGTCTAATCTTGTAACCTATGTTGGGCTAGGTAACAGTGCATTCTGGGGCGGGCTTTACATTTTGTAACAAGCAACACAAATGGCATTGACCATACTTTAAATATACGTATCTTGCCACACTCTCACTGACTTATGAGTTTTTGCGCTGTTCTGCATTTTGCTTTTAGCACAAATAGTGGCAGGATGCACAACTGCAGGCTGTTTTAAATGTGCTTCCACCTTGCATTTATAAGCATTTCAGGCTGACAAAATGACTGTCCAGAATATTTTTCTATTTACTACAACCCTATATAAAAATGAAAAGTTAGTTTGTCAGCCTGAGATGCTCATACTCATATTGAGATGCTCAAGGACAATATGGCGAATTAGCTCTAACAGAAGCAGCACTGGGGCATTGCTGTAGTATGTTTCAAATGGCCACAACTGAATGGTGTGAATTTGGTGTGTAAACCTCTGAGTTCTCTTACTGTGCAAAACTGGATTCCCCGGACACTGTTGCCAAGTTTATCCAGAGGTGGAGACCAGCACATGATGCCCATCACATTGGGTACCACCAGCAAAATGCCTCCTGAAACTCCAGACTTAGCCGGGAGGCCAACCTGTATGATCAATGAAAAACAATTATACCGACAGCAGTAACAGTAGATAAAGTCTGTAGTATAGACACTGTACTTGACAGATCACATTATCCGTAACTGATTGAGTACAGCAGTGTGGGCTTCAACTTGCCAGGGAATCATTAGCTTGCCTGCACATGTGACACCTATGACTTGCTGGGTGCTTGTGAGCATAAGACTCCCGTTTCCTGTAAAGCGCTGTAGGACCCATGGTATTTAAAATGTCAAACTGCACCAAAAATTAAGATTGGAATAGTAATCTCACAGCTCAGGTACCCGTTAAACTTTAGATTGGCCCAGGTCTCTTTTCAAAACTCACAACTGATCAATTAATAATTGGAAAGAAAATTAATGCAAAAAAAATACAAATTGGTTATTGGGATCTACAATATGTGACATTATACTGTTGGGACAGAATAATAGCCTAACAAGATTAAAATGTTTACATTAAATGTTTTCTTAACTTACATGACACTGAAGTTTATGAGGAATCAATAAAACAACTGCAGGTACAACTCTATAATGATAACTGGAATATCTATTCATCTCAGGAACAATATTTGGAATATAATACAAGATCATTCTTGTGTTCTAACATGTCTATCATTCTGTCCTGGAAACATACAAGTAGCTAAATGTACAAATAGTCAAATCTCCGCAGCAACTATTTAACATATTTAACAAATTAGGTGCCATTCAGCACCTGTTATTGTTTTCATTATTAAAGCACTCTGAGAAGAACGTAAATGGGGCTAGACACATAGCTCAGCATGAACATACTTGTCAGAAAGGGATGAAAGATCAGACATGTCACAGAGGTAAAAAATAAAACAGTTGTTTTCTATGTTTTTCTGGAAAAAAGTGGACCCCCTGTCATAATTTGGAAAACATGTCTGACATAATACCAAATAAAACAAATGGTTCAAATAAAAACAAGAGCCACCTAGCACCACCTCTTATAATTCAAGCAATTATGTTGATTCAAAATGATTTGATGTATTAAGTAGTCAAGTAAACTACTAATTATCATTAACAGCAATGTTATCACTTTGCAGCCTAATTAGATTTCAAAGGCCAAGCAAGGCTGGGGACTCTCAGCATTAGGATATCTAATACTAATCATAAACACACTGCTAGTAAAGTATAAGATGAACTAAAGCAATACAATGTGTAAATGCTTGTTATAAAGATGTTTCACAGAAGTACTTGAGTTTCCTTTTTTTGATCAAATCTTTCTTTGGCAGTGTTGAAAAATTGTGATTTCTACATATTTTGGTAGAAGTAGTAATAGAAGTTTTATTTCAATTAGCACACCTAACAGTTTTTTCTGAGTGTACCCAGTGACCACTGCCAAGTTCTTCCATTCATATTACTGAATATTCCATATTCATTGACTTTTGGAAAACAAATATGTTTGCCAACATTAGTCTCTACACACAGAAAACCAAAGCTTTGAATTTGCATATTTTCAATATACAGAAAAGCGATTTTTAAGCATAACTTGTATTTACTAATGTCTCGAATGTTTGCACGTAGGACTCTGAATTAAAAATAATAAAATATAAGAATTACTTGCTGTTCTAGAAAAAATATCTTGCTATACCTTTAAAAGGAATTCCTTTTAAGAGCAGTGCCATATGAATCACCAGTTTTACATTTCAGTTTTTAAGAGCTTACAATTTTCTCATGATGTGTGGTAAAAATAGCTTTCTATAAGCAAATGGTAAAACCTACTAGGCTCACATTAATGACTGGATGTCTCTGTAAAATTTATTTTGGATGATTTTCTGTCAGACTTTATGACATGGGAAGTTAACATCAGTGGTTCTACTTACGTGGAAAGCAAACTGTCCGGAAAAGTCATACATGCCACAAGAGTGCATCAGACTTAGCGTGTTCCTGACAGCCTCTGGACTCAGCACCCTCTCACCAGTGATGGGGCAGAACCCACCATTAGCCAATGTGGCAGCCATTACACTGGCACTCTCGCATGTCACCTCAATAGAGCATAACTATTGAGAAAAAATTGGTATGAAACAGTTACATTACATTAGCTACAAGCTTTCAGATTGTATTCAAAACAACACAACTAGAGACCAATTTTAAGTTTTGCGGAAACTACCAATTAATTTTGTTCATTAAGGAATATACAGTTCATCCAAAATGGGGAAAAAAGGGGTGTATTCTTATAATGAAAAGAAATACCAAAGAAATGCTCTCACCTTAAAATACAAAATATAAACAGCCTGTTTTGAAACATTTTTATCTTCTAATCCTTCCAAGCACAAGCAAATATTAAGATTTTAAAAACAAACCTGGAGACTTTCAGAAGTTTTCGGCTAAGATACTTGTGCACCAATTTTGATTTTAAATTGTTTTGTATTCTCAAAGGGGTGGCTATATTGTTACAATTGTGTCTACTTCTTAGGGTATTTGTACAGTACAAAGTGCTGCTGCACTTTATTTTGGGCTTATGGATATGTGCCTTGGTAACTGATGGTAAGTTAGTAACTTCTAGCTGGTAATAAGAGTCAGCAAAAATCGCACTGAGCTACCACAGTTTCCATCAGCTCATCAATCTTGTAAAAATGGTTTTGTGCTTAATTTTCATTCAATTTAATCTGTACTTAATGCTTAAGCATTTGGAAGACTACTGTTATTTTGACTTAATGCAATATAATACATTACTCTCCTTTTTTCTTTATTTTTCCATTTGAGCACATTATATCTGTTTAATCTTAACTGCACAATACTTTTACCATTTTTTATTTTCTACCACTTACTAACATGTTTTACATTATTTATGCCTCTACTATACTCTATTAGACTCTATTATTGAGTCTATATCTGTAAATGATGACTCATTTAGTTATATCCTGAGATACAGATGGCACAAACTCATCCATTGCAAAAGCTAAATGAGAAAGTGAGTGTGCCATTGCACTCTTGACCGTTCCTGCTTAATTACAATACCCATGTTACTATCAACCTTCAGAAACTGTCTAGCAGGTTTAACTGCAGCTAAAAATATATTCTGTACAAACTTGCTCTTATTTAAACTTTATTCTTTAGTAAAACTATATTCCACTGTGCTAGTTCAAAAATAGTGTCAGTAGGGTCAGACATGTCCTGTTGTTTTAAATATTTTTAATGAACCCTACTCATACAGTCTATGACAGTCAAATTTAAAAATGTATCAGATGGCATAAATGCAAACTTTTGCCCTGTCTAAACAATGCAACATCCCGGTAAGACAACATTAATTACACGGAAAAGATCATTAAAAATAATCATTCTGCTCTCTTCTGTGAGGCCTGCAGTTTAAATATTTCTTACATTTGTTACCGATCAAAGCAAATTGAACACACAAAACTATTTTTTTTTTGCTAGATGATGTAATTGTTACTTTTAATACCGTAAGACTAGAGTAGAAAACAAATTCACCTGGAAATAAAAGTCTAGTATTGATGTCATATCTGTTCCTTCAGGGAAGCACTGCAAAGAAAAAGAAAAAAACAGATTTTTTTTAATTGGATAACTGTACAATGTATAAATATCAGTTTACCATTCCCAGAAACATAGTTCTCAAAAAAGACTATCAGCATTAATTTGGCACAAATGGTATACACATTAAAAAATGCTCACAGTTGAAGAAGGCTTCACAGCGAAAACATTTTCTCTCTTCTCTTTTCATCATGGAATAAACCTTTTACTTGTTCCTTTGCAGACTACGCATGCTGATGCAGCTACCCACCTGAACCATATTAAAAAATTGCTTTTACCAAATTCTGGTCCTCACAAAGCTTTAAAGCTTTCACTCAACATAAAATAGTCTGGAGACTGATTTACTACGTGACCTTTAGGCTCCTCATCTGAAGTTCATTATCTTCCAGGTGTACCTACAGTATGAGCATTCTAATTTCTGCAAACATTACAAAAATTATAACAAATATTAAAAATAAAATTTGAGATTAGTTATATAATTAGAAACTAAATATGTTAAATGGTAGATGAAAAAAATGAATTCATGCAGTTAAAATAAAACTGAATTACATCAAAAAATATTTTATAGAATATAAAAGAGCAAAAAGTTCCACCTAGCACAGTGGCTTCTAATCAATACATATGACCTTTTAAGAGCTAAAAATAAATGTACAAAATGCCCCAAAAGAAAACTAAAATTTACCCTTGATTAAGAACTTGGCTAGGGCAAAAACCAAAAGAAAACAGTTCCTTCAGGATCAATGTTGAAAACATCTGACCTAGTACACTGTATTTTGAAGTGAGCTTCAAAAAGTGACTATATTTGTCACAGATAAGGCCAGTTACATATTCAAAACAAACTGACATTCTTTGAATCATGCTGCCAAATTCACCATGTAATGATGCCATGGTAGCCTTTGTGAGAAACACATATGCAAATAATTTTCTGAAAGAAAACCGTGAAAAACATTTTAAACATTGTCTAAGAAAGAAAACAAGTACATAAACAATATAGAACGTATGAAAAAATGTTAAACAAAGCCTAAGCAACAGGTACTGCTCTATGTATAACATGATGAGGTAATTGGTATTCAGCTGCAGAACAGGCTTGTGAAACTGAAATGGACATTTCACCAAAATACAGTGGTATTAAAAAGCAAAATAATTCTGAAGAATGTATGAGTTTTGGAAACTCTGTTCTATCCAATTGCATGGCAAGAGACCAGTTGATGTAATATGTCGGTGTGTTAAAAACAGTGTCCACGAAACATACAGTAAAATAGAGGAATTAATAAATGCATACTGGGCATTGTCAAGGCAAATGCACAGCACAGCCAGCACAAAACACATACTTTTATGTTTAAGAAACATTCATCAGCCTGGACAAAAGACATTTAATTAAAATTGAGAAATTAGATCAAGATCACTAATTTCTCATGGTAGGGATATTTAACCTTAAAGAAGCATGCAGTTAGAATGTGAATACCCTGCCATAACGTTCTGTTCCAGGTTCTGTTGAAGAATATACATCTGTGAACAAATATGTACACTATGTAAAAGACAAAGGCAGTGGAATGCATAAGCATAAGAAAGTTTTTACACAGTAGACTGTCTACACAATAGACAGTTCACAACTGGCAATAATACATTTTAATAACAAAATATTATTTAGTTATGTTACTGTACTACTTTTTAATTAGTATTTTTCATGTCTTCAAACAGAGCAAAACAATTCTGTGACACTTTATATTTACACTGTATGTAGTATATGTTCCTGATGATAATTTTAATTTACTACTGCATTGTCCGTGAAACTATTGAATAATTGAATATCATCCTGCAACTCACAATTGGCAACCCACTGAAGCTAAGCAGGTGTGAGCCTGGTCAGTACCTGGATGGGAGACCTCCTGGGAAAAACTAAGGTTGCTGCTGGAAGAGGTGTTAATGGGGCCAGCAGGAGGCGCTCACCATGCGGTCCATGTGGGTCCTAATGGCCCAGTATAGTGACGGGGACACTATACTGTAAACAGCCGTCCTTCAGATGAGATGTAAAACCGAGGTCCTGACTCTCTGTGGTCATTAAAAATCCCAGGGCGCTTCTCGAAAAGAAAGGAATTTCCAATTGGCCCTTCCAAATCATGGCCTCCTAATAATCCCCCTCTATGAATTGGCTACATTACTCTGCTCTCCTCCCCTGATAGCTGATGTGTGGTGAGCGTTCTGGCGCACTATGGCTGCCGTCGCATCATCCAGGTGGATGCTGCACATTGGTAGTGGTGGAGGGGAGTCCCCATTATCTGTAAAGCACTTTGAGTGGAGTGTCCAGAAAAGTGCTATATAAGTGTAAGCAATTATTATTAATTATTATTATAATTATAATTGTCAACAGTCATATGTCACTGGTTTTCTAGATGTTTATGTATGTAAATTGCAATAATTACATTACTGGTTGAGATGATTAAGATACTGCAAAAAAAAAAAATGAATAGCATGGCTTTAAAAGAGCTTACCTGGACCTGCCAAAAACACCTCTTGATCAGCAGGACTGAAGTTCATGTTAGACAATTAGCCAAGAAAAACACTAAGCCCTACATATAAATAAATTCACAAGCACTGTAATTCCTAGAGTGTCGAAACTAACCCAAACAATCAATGTGAACACCACACAGCACCAACAAGCAATAAAATCTATTCAAAAGCTGATTTTTACATATTTAACATGATAGAGAACCACCAGGCAGACATTTCAAGCAACTGGTGCAACTTTTATACAAACCTTCTTCTCTTTCAGGTAATACCCTATAGCAAAATTCCGATCCCCAGACTCGCGTTCAGACTGGAAGCTGCATGAAGAAGAAATCCATTAGCAATAATTGAATAAACCACTTTTGAAAATTCATCCAAATCATGTGAATTATTGCACATCAAAGAGATGCCTTAATATTTTTTCAATGTTAATAAAAAAAAGTACAGTAACTGTTAACATTAGAATACCTTCACTATTTGGAATATTAAACTAGGTCAGTTCACTTTTTCTACGGATGTTAACAACTACTTGCAGACAAACAAAATACTTACGTGGCATTGCTGAATCCTACATATTCATTGCCAGACATTTTATTCAAAAACTGCATAACCTGCAAAGTAAAAATTGATTATGAAAAATTAGCTGCAGTATACCTTCATATGAGAAAACAGTACACTACCAAGTAGTACTCACATAGTCAAACTTCTCTGCATTGTTCACTCCTTGCTGAAAGACAAAAAGATCAAAATAAGTGTTATTACTAGCTTTAGAAAAAATAATGTACACCACTATTTACAACTAAAACTGCAAGTAAATTATGTTCACAAAAATGAAACTTTTAGGAAGGTTTAAGACTATCCAGTTAAAATCTATAAGGATACTTACATCAACAAAACATTATATATAAACATAATTTTCTCAAAAAATATAGATACAGTTTGGTTATTTTATTTAGTAAGCTTTTGCTATACACACTAAACCTGAAGTGGCTAATGTTTTCTATACATGCACGTCACAATACATTTTTAGTGTTTACAATGATTATGTTTTAAATTTGATGATTAATATCTTTCTTTTGAAACTGGTATCTCAAATCTTAATATAAAGATGTTGTGTTATACAGACAGTACCAATGTTTACCATATACAGAATTCAGTGCATCAGATTCAATCTTTTGGTTTTAAACAAACACAAATGAACAAGCCAGAAACAAATTACATATGAAGTACTATTAACTGCAGGACAGCATTGTATTTCATTAAATGCAAAAAGCCAATCACATTTCCCACTGTGTTAGTGGATTTAGGATAACACACATCTGCAGGATTCCACATATCAGCAGTCATTAGTATGTTGTGCACTGACAACCTGGCTTTGTGTGTAGGATGTGTAGCATGCACAGCCAGCAACCAGGCTGAAAAGGGAAAAAATGTGTCAGTCTTGACTAATGTGTTAACCTTATATTCCCCATCTCTCCAAAGTACTGGTGCAGAACTTTATCTTGTAAATACACTACTCTGCCTTATAAAATTACAAATATTGCAAATACACACATATACATATATATGGTACTGCAAAGAAGGCAATGACATTTACTCTATACTGATGCTTGCCTTGCTGAACCAAATTAAATAGAAAATTCCTTTTAACAGAATAAATCCAGATTTGTTCAATGAGGAAAGAAATTGAAAGAAAAAAAATTACCAACGTCATTGAACTGTTGCAGTAGTCAAAATATCCCATAGATCCTAATGCTGTAAAATACGTAACAACATATAAACCACAAAAAAGCCTTTCAAAAACACATTAGACAAATCCATTTAAGGGAAGCTCCAGTCTCTACTGAATAAATTCTTCATGGGAAGACTTCATGCTCTCCCCTGTCTTTTCTTCAAGATCATCAATTTATAGACCACTGATCCACACTTGGTGAAGGAAAATATATTGATACCTGCTTAAAGTTATTCCAAATCTTCCTCAATATTATATATTCCCTTACTTTGGAACAAAAAATAGACCTGGTTTTAGTGTATCGGGTTTTAATGTGTTAAAACATAGGTTTTAATTTAACAAAAGAAAAACTGAAAACAGAATGATACCACAAAATTACCCTGTCAGGCTTGTAATAAACTTCTTAAGGTTTTTTGCATGAATATTTTAGTGTCTAATATGATAATTACAATGCCATTTAGTAATTCAAGACACTTCTCTAAAAAGGCTAGGCCAGTAACAAACAGTTTAAACCTGTAAATCTTTAATCTGTACGAAAGGTGAGAAAAAAAAGCCATTCTGTTTTCTGACAGGATAATTCTACAGAACCTTTCTGTTAGTCTTGAACTGAGCAAACTGTTTTAAATGATCAAATGTGGTAGAGGAAGTAGTTTAAACTAATCCCAAATTCTCTGCTCGAATGTGATCGTTTAATTCATTTCTAATAATATATAGTGCCCTCCAGATTTATTCATGCAAAAGATGAAACAGGAACAAAAAAAATCTAATCACAGAAAGATTTACAGAACAGATCATTTATCTTGCTTAAAAAATGTTATACTGTAATCTTAATAGCTTTGCACAGGGTTAAGCCTTATTTATCATAATTAAATCCAAAACATACAAGTGTCATATCTATTCATATCCCTGTGTTAATAAATCTAATTCTTTGCAAAGCTTGCTCTGGTATGGATTATACTGACAAGACACCTGCTGTTGTAGCGGAGCAAGTTCAGACACGATGACGTCATTGCCCTCCCTGCACGTAGCAGGGACCTCAGCTCCCTTGGCTGAGACAGGTCTCCTTCAGCTCATGCGGCTGGTTCCCTGTTGCTTTATGCTGGAGACCAGGGTTCACGCCCCAGGTGTTGCGGGACGAAATGGGTGGTGTGAAGCGGCGGAGGGCACAAGCCCACACGGAACAGCAACAGTCACACTGTGTTGTATAACAAAGTTCTGGATTCGAGACCATTCCTTTTATGCACAACTGTTCTTAGGTCTTTATATTCTTAGGATTTTGTTTGTTAATTCCCCTTTTGAGTTCTAACAAATGTTTGATTGATTTGAGATCTGGAGAAGGAGATGATAACTCAAGCACATTTATTTTCTGTTCAATTAACATTTATTTTTTTTTAATTTGGATACGTTGGATCATTGTTATGTTGAAATGTGCATTTGTGGCCAAGTTTCATCTTCATAATAAACCCCCCACCCTGCAACATTTCACAGATGGCCAGGAGTATTTTCTTAAAAAGCCTTCACTTTTCACATAAAACTGCTGAGCAATTTTTGTTTCATCCAGGAGATGACATTTTATTATGAGGTCTCCAACTGTCACATTTGGATTAACGCTTACCTCCCAAACTACTTGTCTCACAACCCCTAGTTGCAAAATACATTTGGAACAATGGCTGTGTTCCCACTGTACCAGTAGCCTTACAATTTTTAATAATGAACACAAGTGGAAAGTGCTAGATCCAGACCCAGAGAATTATGTTATAGCCATCCAACTTGTGGAGGATGACCAAAATGATGCACGATATGACTAAATGATACTCACCGTTTTGTATAATATCCCTTTTATAATCTGGGAAAAAGAAAAGTGGCCCCCACTGCACAAGAGCAGAATGTTACTTTAGATTTTTTTTAAGCAAGATACATTATCCAATTTGTTAATCTTTCTGTTAAATACTGTCTTTGTTCCTATTACATTCTGCAATGTGACTAGATTGGGTTTTTTGTATGAGAAAGGACATAGCAGGTGCAGTGTAATCCACTCCCTGTAGCACAGAATTAGTTTTAAAATAGAGTAATGCCTTAACGGTAACGGTTTATAAGCAGGCAAAAGGAGGCTTTCCTGATTTAAACTACTTACTTGAATGAACATCTCGTACAATGCAAGACCATTTTTATTAGCAACTTCACCTCAAAGGCTAGGCCAACCAAGGGCAAATGTAGTTTTTAATTGGTTTGGGTTGCTTTGTTTCAGATTTTAAGAGCGAGCTGCCAAACACTCAAAGTAAATTTCTATTCTTTTATGAGAAAATACTTGTATTAACTGCTCTGAACAGGCAATTACTATGACTGTCTTCATCTCTTCCACTAATGATACAAACTCCATGTACACTAATTAATGTTAATTCCATTATGAAAAGGAAAAAATCAATTTCAACTGAGCATCCTTCTTCATCTGTGCAGCTGAATAAGGGAAAGAATAGAAATATGAATTCATAAGGGTGGGTAACTGTAAGAAAATAATATATATTGTTTTCAGATGTCTATCTGTAGAAGGAGTCTTTGAATCCCATTAAAGGACACAGAAAGTAAACAGCTTCTGCTACAACACTGTCTGAGGTGGATGGTGCCAGTGTATATAGGCAAGTAAGCTGCAGACAAGAAGGGTGTGTGGATCAGAATGCATGGCAGCATAAGATGATTTGCATCTATTACAAAAAGTGCCCTGACATTTATATTTGTGGATTAGGTATAAAACTACATTATACTCATTGATGAAAAAATCTCTCCAAACTAAAAGTTCTCGATTTTCTCTCTCCCAGTCAGGATTACACTGATATTTCTGTCTCTTTCACAGGGAATCCAAGGTTCTCAGTACAGAAAAATATCAGAAACCCAAATTATCCTTAAAGTAAGTTCTCACCTTGCACTAGCTCTCTAAGATCAAGTGTTATTCTCTAGGTTTCTCTGTTCATTAACAGAACTCATACATGCACTTGAAGAAAGTTACACAATGGAAACACTTCTTTTTAACTTCTCAGCATGGAATTAACTTCCACTTGATCCTTTGCAGCTCACACTATAAGGCAGCTACTCACTGTGCTTGACCTCCTCTTTTTTTACATTTCTTAGTAGGTTTTTAAAGCTGGACACAGATTTATGATTCAGCTAAGTCTTAACGCAGCACCAGTGATCATGAATACAATTATGACAATTATAAAATTGGAATTATTATTAAATTAAAATTATAGACAGTTATAGCCCTGAGAAAAATCCAAATTGTACAATGTGCACATGTTCTAATAAAAGTGCAGCCAATTCGTGTACATTACCCATTTTGGAGTTTGTTTATGATAGCCAAATTCTGCATTGCAAGTGCTGGGAAGATGATCAAAGCTGTGATCAAAGTATTAGAGCAAGAATGTTATGATTTATGTCATGATGATTTTCTGTTATGACCAATGGGTCACTCCATAGTAATAACTAAGAACAGTTGCTAACCATCTTAAATTTCATTACAAATTACCTAGGCATTTTGGACCTACTGAGTTCAGAAATTTTTATGTGAAGTGAACGAGTAAAAGTGAGGTAAAAGCTCAACTCAGAAGCTACCATCATGTGCAGCACCTCATTCTTCAGCATCCTAATAAACAGAATGTAAATATCCAGTGCCCAAATGTAAAATTGTCATATTCCCATGGTGGGTTAGTGAAAGGCTTTATTTTATTATTTTATATTATTTTATTTTTATTAGTATATACTATTTATTTTATATCCTGTTAGGATCTCAAATAACTGTAAGGATATCAACCTATACTAAATTTTGGGACCCATGTTTTGTTTTAAACAATTCATCTCACTGGCCCTTAACCAGTTATTTTTACAGGTATGGTCAAAATAAGTCAAATGTTTTTTAATCATCCATAGATATTTTTGGATAAATGCTGAAAAAACATGAATGAAGAAAACATGCATCTGAGGACTTCGGATTTCTAGCAGATTTTTACATTATATTTGCGATGCATTTGAGAATTGTTTATAGCCTATTCCATAAAGTGACCACACAGTCAAAAATTCAATATTGATATTATTTTGAACTGCTAGATTTAAAGAAAACAGTGGAAGGGTGTACCTTCTGTGGCACTGGCTTTGAGCTGAGAGGTTATGAATTTGCTTGTGTAACAAATTTGTCTGTTATAATAACGCATTTGAAAGAACCAAATCCTTTGTTGGGTCTTAAAAACTACAGATCTATAGAAAACATACAAACAAGACTGATCAAAAAATGGTTAACTCCTCAAGCACTTCATTTTGGTAACGATAATCTTAAACACTTCAGATGGGCCAAGTAACACTTCAAATAAAAAAATATATAATTTCTGAAATCAGTGAGCATGGGAAGGCCTAATTTAATTATTCTAGCAGAATTTGAAAACAAGTCAGGCATGGAATGACTCATCTTTTAATTCAAAGGGATGAAAGTATTTTATCAGGTATTTGTTATAACTCACATTTTTTACAGACAGTACAAGTATAACATTTAGTATAAAGTATGTTTCTGTGTATTACAGCTTCACTGTGACAAACTACATGTGGTGGTATTACAGTATATAATGACAAAGCAAGTAAAAAGAGAATAATTTTATCTTGAACAGACCAGTACACTGCATAGAGAGGTCACTTCAGGATTTTTCATTGTAGTACCTATATTAAGCATTGAATTTAAATCCCAAACATTTTTTCTGAAACATGATATACAAGCACAGTAAGCAGTTTAACAACACAGAAAAAGAAAAATATATTAGACATTTCATTCCCTTTAAAAACATAAGGTCTATTAAAACTTTTGAAATTTACTATTCAGTAAATTTTAGCACTCAAGCTTTGTGTGATTAGATACTATAAAAACAGAAACATTAACATGAACAATAGTTTCTGGTCTCACACTTGCAGCCTTATAAAGCGCTACTGTCTGATGAACTAAGTGCACCCATTAGCTAACAACCCCAGATTAATCTTAGTTAAGCAGTATAAAAACTAAAACAAAAAATCCACACACATCCTAGCAGGCTGATTTAATGGACTCTGGATAAAATACAGCTCAATGGGCCAAGGTTGAGATACTACCACTTTATATAATGTTGCACAGTCCTGCATTCACCAAAAAATCTGGATTTTTTTACTGGATTATATAAAGCCTTAATTAGCCAATGGATTTACCATTTAACTAAATAATACTGTATACTATTTTATTATGGAAATATCATTTTCTAAAAATCTCTCAAAACGAAATTCCATATGATGTTTCAACCAACACATTCAAAACATCTAGTGTATTTCAAAATCTGTATTTCAAAATTGCTGCAAGGAAATACTGCAATTATAAAGCTTGTCAGACACATTCAGATAATACCTTAGCTTTAGCTGGAAACATTTCTAAGTTAGCATTACACACAAAGGAGTATGATTCTACAAAAACAAATATTAGATAGCACTTTCAATTGAAGGAAAAAAATGATTTACCTTTATCAGAGAGGTAACCACAATTGCTCCAGCATTCACCATAGGATTGTGGGGTTTATCTGTATAATGTCAGAATTAATCAAAGTCAGAAATGATTAAATGAAAACAGTATATTATTTAAGATACCCTTTATAAATTATTTTCACAATAGTTCACCACTAACAAAATGTTTATTTGAGCTATTAAAATAAATAGTTAAATTATCAGTTTAAATTTAAATCAATTTCAATTCACTGGTTTTCGTAGCTATATGTAATGTACTACTAAAAATGGTTATGTACTTTTGATCTTACTGAGTTGTAGAAGTCTATAAAATTATTGTTGGTGACAGTCCTACTGGGAATCTCAAAGCACTGACAGTTGCCATTATATACTGTATTTAAATAAACAAAAATAACAAAAAAACATACTTATTCTTATCCAATGTAACATTCAGTAGAAATTAATACAATATAAAGAACTAACAAATGTAATTGCAAGCAATCTATTGATAAACTGCTTGCAATTAAATCTGTTAGTACTTTATATTGTATTAATTACACAAATTATGCAAATTTACAAATATTGTCAAAAGCATAAGAACGTAAGAAGGGTTACAAATGAGGTCAGAAATGGCTTGTTTGGTAGCAGTTTATTGATCCAAGGATCTCATCAGGACATTTGGTGAGGAAAGCCAATATTTTGGATTCAACCACATTTTAGTCAAAAGAAAAATAACTTGTCACTGTGAAATACACATATTACACATATCTGTAATGTTGGATGGATTGTACCACGTGGAAATACAGTATGAAGGCATGATCAGCAATGATTACAGGGTCCTAAAAATCTTATGCCATGCATTACATACCGGATGAGTTATGTGTGAAGTGTAGAAGTTACTAAGCAACAGCAATGTAAAATTTCACATACAAAGAAAATCAGGGGGGCTAACTCTATCCAAAAGTTTGTTATACAACCACATAAACCTTAAATCTGATGCTTAAAAAACAGATTACAGCTTTAACAGTTTTTCCAGCTGTTTGTTATTTCACATTACAATGCAGTTAAATATCAGCCTTGAAGCTTTTACCAAAAAAGCTGCTCAACCATTGTACTTCCTTCTACCATCCCTAAAATACAATTAGCAAGAATACTGCAAGTATCAGTTTGTATCTATGAAATATTGATCTGAAGTCATGTTCACTGCCTATAATGTGCCATTTGTTTTGAAGCCTTATACAAACAAATGTTAGGCAACAAAATACTGTTACAATATTCTTATGATATGAGTTTTGAAAATGGCATTAAAAGAGAATCATTGGCTCTCTCTCTTTAGAAATAATGAATATTATCCAAGTGTTACAATACTTCCGCTCTCCTAATATTCTTAAAAAAAAACTCCATGCCAGCAGGTTCACAGAAGTCATTAGACAATGAGGTCACAGGATAAAATCAGATTACTGCAATAGTAATCTGCAGAGTACAGGCAAAATGGGTTTCCCATACTATTAAAAATACAGTATCTGTTTTTCCTAGACAAGTGAGGGGAAACATTTTATTTAGCAGTCCATCAATATTTTGATTTGCACATCTCCATGGAAACTTGAGATTGCTAATGTAACCCAATGTAGCCATTATTAATACTTAAAGATAGCTAATTTCTATCTAGACACATCTGGAGTTCCTGGTTCATTAGTGAGTATTTGACATCATGATTGTTGTAAAATATGATGAACAAACATTCATTTGAACCTTGTGATAGTCAATGGGTTTGCAATCATTATTTTTTTATTAGAATACCATGGCAAAAGACTCCTGTAAAGAACATTTCACCTCTCAGTGTTTCATCACAGATCACAGACAAACCCATGACATTTAAAATGCACTTCTAGACTGATAATCAGTCTTGTCAACCAGCACTAGTGACAAGTGAAGTCTATCAATTCTGCTGCTTGGTGTATATGCAAGTCTGCATTTAAATTACTTTCTTTCATGAACAATGGCAAAATTCTATAACCTTCAAAATTCTTTAATTGTTCCTGTAAAATCATAGCCCCAAGATCATGTCTAAGCTTTAGTTTTAATAAATATTGTATTTTCTTTAAATTTATAAAGTAATACATTTTCAAAAATACAATATTGAATGTAATGCAGAAAAACAGACACCAACCAGGGAAACTTTGCTTGCATTTCAGATTCTAACCATCAATTACCTGAATTTTAAAATTACCACTGTTTGACATAGTGGTATTTAATTTTTAAACAGGAGTTCAGCTCACCTTGCAAAAAGCCTAAACTAAATCAACATACCGCAGTGCAAACGATTCAACTCAAATACAAAGGTGAAACAATTCATTAAAAGCAGTTAAAAACAAGATTAAATAAAGAAATTAAATCGTTTCTGTTTATTTCAAATATATGCACAATAATTCTCAGCAGTACTTTCTTCTCTGCTTCCATACCAGAAGATCATATAAAAAAAGAATGTCAATGGTTCCATCTAGAATATTGCAGTCTTTGGTTTTTAATGTGACCTTTATGATTTGAAGAAAAAATAACCAAACTAGAAGTAAATGAGCTTACCATCTTCATTCAGGAACAGTTTGTTAAATCGTAATCCACTGGGCTCTTTTCCAACATATCTGTGTACATACTCTGTACCAAGATCATGCACAGCTATTGCATACTTCAATGGCTTCACACAGGACTGCAGACAAAATGGTACTTTGGTATCTCCAACAGAATGCCTAGAGTTAAAATGAACAAAAGCTGAAAAAAAAACAATACAAAAGGGCTGTGTAACAATAAAAAGAAATCTGCTAGTCGTAAGACATTACTCAACCTTAAAACTTCTGGCCTTGTCTCGGAAAAATGACACAGAAGGAAAGAAGTTTGAATCAGGGATTTAATAGTTTAATTTGGTTGTCCATACTAGCGAAAAAATAACATGAGCCATGTCAAAATGACCAAAATTTATAATTCGATCATTCTGTTATACACTCATATCCCGCTATCCGAACCTAATTCATTCCTGAAAAGTCACCCTGTTCCAAACCAAAGACAAGTTTACTCAAAAACCACCCTAAACATATAATACCATACTGACCATTATTAGCAATATTAGTGTACACCACTGTTCTACTCAAATAAGCCAACTATAGCTTTAAAATAATTATTGATATCACATTTACATTTTAAATTATTTTGTAATAGATCGTTATACAAGTGATCGGCTAGAACGATGTGCATACTGTTGTTGACTATTACACTAAAGAATCTTTTTCTCTTCCATAAGACCCCATAATGAACGGCAACTACAAAACGAACACAAAAATAACACTTGTTAAAATGTGAGCACAAGCTGTGATTGTAAACAAAGGACTGCTGCCCCACAGCATCCTTTATCACAATGCCTTGTGCACGTGCAGGAACAAAAAGCTGTTTGGCGCTGCATTCAAATGTTAACAGAAGGTTCTCTACCAAAATTGGTCACTTTCAAACTTCAAATTTCAGATTGGTGAAATTTAATTCTCTAATGAATTACAAGATACAAATTCTTCATGTTCAGATTAGAACAAATTCGTATACTTAAAGTTCTTATATCGGGGTATGAGTGTACAGCAAACAAAATCGCCACCTTGTTTATGTTGTATACCCAACATACTGTCCCTGATTCCCACCTTTAAAACAACAATACGTCATCACTTACATTACATATTTGTTTTTGTTTCATATCTGACCTCCAACCTCAACTAAACAGAACTAACAAACTTTACAACTAAACAAATATGCATCTTGGCTATAACTAGATATTATCATTTTGGAAAAAAGTCAAATGTTTTCTCACCACTGCTCTGGTCACTGCACCACTTTCTCTTAAACTTCTAGAGAATAGCTTGATCTTATTTCTTCACCTTTTACCTATCCATCAAGATCTACTAAAGGTGTTTATTATCTTCTTGATACTCTGGATGACAATGAATTACACATTACAGGATTTAAAAGATTACTTGCCCAGTAGGTTTTCATATTTTTGGACCTCTCTGTGCAAGGAAGGCACTACTCTGTCTTCCCATCTAGGGTTTGTTAGCCCTTTTTAAATATAAAATGAGTCCTCTATCCAATACTGTATTTCTTCATGGAATAAAGATCTAGATAAGCCAGCTGGTAGCCCTGATTGGAATGTGCTGTGAGTATATAAGATCCTTGGTAAAACATCTAGATAATCGTCTCATCCATTTTAAACTCACACGCAGAACCTACAGTCCTGTGAAAAAGAAAGTACACCCTCTTTCAATTATATGGTTTTATATATCAGGACATAACAAAAAATCATCTGGTCTTTACCAGGTCCTAAAATTAGGTAAACCTAACCTTAGGTGACAAACAACACATAACAGATTCCACTATGTCATTATTTAACAAAAAATAAGCCAACATGCAGGAGCCATGTGTGAAAAACTAAGTACACCTCATGATTCGGTAAACCACCTTTAGCAGCAAGAACTTGAAGTAAACGTTTTCTGTATGAGTTTATCAGTCTCTCATATTGTTTTGGAGGAATTTTGTGCCCATTCTTCTTCACAACACTGCTTCAGTGCATTGATGTTTGAGGGCATTCGTTAATGTACAGCTCTCTTAAAGCCGCCACAGCACCTCAATAGGGCTGAGGTCTGGACTTTGACTTGGTGATTCCAACACCTTGATTCTTTTCTTTTTTAGCTATTTAGTTGTAGATTTGCTGATTAAATTTACATCAATTTCAATTCACTGTTTTTTGTAGCTATTTGCAATGTACCACTAAATATGGTTATGTACTTTTGATCTTACTGAGGTGTAGAAGTCTATAAAATTATTGTTGGTGACAATCCTACTGGGAATCTCAAAGCATTGACAGGTGCCATTATATACTGTATTTAAAGAAACAAAAATAACAAAAAAACATACTTAGTATTCTTATCCAATGTAATGTAATGTACAAGACCCTTTTAGCCAATGCCTGGCTGGACTTTCTCCCCTTAAACAGTTTGTTATATCTCTGCAGCAGAACATAGCAGGAGCCTTAAATTGAAGCTAACCCCCTTGGCTTTGAGTGTAAACAGTCGAATTTCTTGTATTTCTTAATGAGCCCACTCAGCAGACAAACATATAAAAAAATACCAAAAAACAGCAGGCAGAAATTTTGTTTTGGTCTTTTCCAGGCCTGTCAGGTAGCTGGAAATGATTTGAAAACCTTGTTGTAGGTGTCTACTGGCTTGGATAAAAATCTGGGACAAATTGATCAATTTGAAAAAATTCTACATAATGTTTTGTGAAGACTGGACCTGGAATGAAATTTCTCGCATATTGAGACACTGCTAGAGAGCCTTTTTCAGCTGTTGGGCAGTGGGAAAAAAACCTCAGAGATGCCTTTTGGTGTGAAAAAAAGGAGCACTGATAAGAAACTGATTGATTACCTTCTGAGTCAATGATTGACAGCTAGAAGGCAGGTGGAATGCAGCCTGAGGCTTCTAGAGGAAGTCCCACCACAAGGGCTCTGAATGGCTGAAAATGCAATGAATGACAGCATTTTATACAAATCAGATCGCCTTATTTCTGGTGGTCCTGCATCAAATAGCTATTCCAAAGTCAATAACGTTCAGTTTCCTCCAAGTCTGGAGGTGGGTTAGTCTAGCCTTTTGTGGATATATATTGTGCTTCAGAACAAGGTAAAAACATGGGATATATATATTTTTTGATTTTGCGGTCTTGTTTTGCTGGCTTACTGATTACCTTATCGATGCATTTTGGAAGTTTGGAAGTGCATCAGCAGATAAAAAGTGACTTGTTTGTTTAAAAAAAACATTTTCTTTAAAACTCTGGTTGTTCTTTTTCGATTGATATCATGTTTTTGTGGTTATGTTGGTAAAAAACTATTAAATATGATGCAGAAATCAAATGTAAATATTGATTTACACCATGGACACTTGCGAATATGCCAAGCACGGGACACGTTTGATTAAATGAATGTTTTTTTTTTCGGTTCTGAAAACGGTTTTGTGAAGTTCTAATTGAACCTTTTTCAATTGATAAAAAGGTTTTCTGTAAAGGTTCTGTGGTTTTGGTGATGTAAAACGATGAAGTGAGATGCTCCTTTTAAGTCAAGTTTCTTAGACAGTAGCTGCATGTGGCCACGTTTGCACTAAAAGGTTAGCACACACCTGAATGCTCCAGATCACCAAACTGCCAAAAGTTCTAATTAACTAATCAAGTGCATTTGATTAGCAGCACCTGGCTGCTAATTACTTTCTTAATTCCAATGGAAGCAGCTAGGGTGTACTTAATTTTTACCACATGGTTTCTGCATTTTGGCTTACTTTTTCTTGAATAAATACATAGTGAAATATGTTATTTGTTGTCTGTTATCTGAGGCTAGATTTGTCTAATTATAGAAGCTGGTGAGGACCAGATGATTGTTTTTTATGCCCTGATATGTAAAACCATTGAAAGAGGGTGTAGTTTTTCACATGACTATATGTAAAACCACACACATTTGAGGAAAGGAACTACTGCACAAAGGGTTTAACTTGACTCATTAACATGCCTGACCCATTCTGTGGGTAGGCTTCACTGAAAGAGCAGGACTGGGTGGATTCTTGTTTGTCTTGTTTGTTCCTATATAAAGAAGTATAATTAAAATACACTGTAGAAGTGCTAGACATATATCAGCCGAGAGAGAGGTGTTTTTATAAAAATATACTAAAAATTATAATTTTTTATTAAATTATAATTACAAAATTAATCAAAATAGCAATCGCCTGTTTTTCTACTATCATTTTCTTTGTTCTCTGTTCCTTTTTTAATATATGAAATTGCATTCTAATCTATTAATCAGTACAAACATTGAACAAAAAATCTTCAAAATTAAATTTTGACATGGAATGACCCCATAGCATAGTATTTTTTTATTTCTAAGATAAGTTCAATTTCCTCAAGGACAGGAGGTTCAAGGTTTCTTTATTCTGATATTTGTAGAAAAAATGCTTTAAATCGCAATTTTTATATTAATTTTATTTTTGATTAATTAAATGCATCCAGATGAAGCTGCACTGCTATAATCTTAAAAATGAAGAACCTAACAGACTAAATAAAAAAACATAATGCAAAATACATGTCCTGTTTTGATTAGTAACAATGGAATAGTAGAGTAGGGGTTGTCAAAACAAGTTATCTTATTGTATTTCTTGAATGCAATACGATCATCTTATTCCTGAAATATATAAAAAGGATGAGGAAGTTGCATTTCAAGGCTGCAATGTTTGAACATCAATGGAATTACTTAGAATATAACTGAACATGTAGCCTTTTACCAACTCTCACATTCTCTGGGTGCCTCTTATTCATGGATGTGTAAATGAAATTTCCCTTTCCATGGTACTTTCCCAACAAAAGTTAAATGCGTAACTAATGAGACTTAAAAGATTACATGTTCCATTGGAATTGGGTTTGCCAAGTCAATACTAATTAAATATCAACAAAAATGATTTAAGGAATTTATGACGCATTTCCTGGACTTGTCAAATCTGTCCCCATTTTCATCAGAAGGCAATGCTTTCTTTTAGAAGTTAAAAGCATTTGATAGTAGCAAACAGTCATTCATTATTTCAGAAAACAGTAATTTCAGTAAACGGAAAAGCAAAATCTGTATCTTATGAATCTTTTATTAAACGAGAAGATAAATCTGGTTTTAAAAAGACATTCTGTGAATGTGAATTATGAAATCAAAGGACAGCGATCGTAGTAATTAGAAATGTCAATTTTTTTTCCCCTCTAATGGACTAGCCCACACTACAGTTACATTTCCCAGTTAGATTTCAGTTTTAGTTTATCATTCACCACCATCCTAGATACCTCTGTCCATCCACTGTGCACAGTGAAACTGCCCACAAGTCTGGGCTGAACTTGGCAAGCTGTGGAATATAATCAGCAACCTGCCAAATACAAAAGGCACTTTATTAGAATTTTCTTTGTCATAAATAGTACTCACACAACAAAAAACGTACTCTGTTCATAAAACAGGAATCAGTCCAGATGAAGTAGAATTTGTTTAAAAGCGCTACAAAAATCAGACAACAGACAATTTCACAGAGATACAAACATTAAAGTTACTTTTTTTAATTAACATACTAGCATCAAAATTATTATCAGTAATACCTATCTGCTAAATTATTATTTATTGACCTCGGAAAAAGGGCATGATGACAGAGCTACTGAGAAGCATATAATACTTAGTCTTAACATGAAAAAAGGTTTATAAAATTATATTCCAATACATGAGACTACAAATTTGTTCAGGAGACCTTTTGTACTGATAGTATTATAAGTAGCTTTAAATGGCCAATGAGCAGAGAATTGGAAAGCATTTTAACTCCTCCAAATTTAGCAACTTACTGAGCCAATTAAGTCGTGCTAAGCTCACCTAGACCACAAACCAGAGGACACAGCAAATATCTTGAGTTTCAGACCACTGTACTAATAAAATGGACATATGCTGCGTACTGATGTATATCAATTTTTTTCTATTAAAGAAGCATGATTAAAAACATAACTACTATCAGCATGTCTGTAAAGTAGATGTTATTAATGTAATTAATTATCCTATTTTATTTCATTGTCCATGCATAAAAATGTAACATGGAAAAAGGTCAATATCTAAGCAAGTTTTTTTGTTCTTATGATTTACATTTCTTAGGAATAACAGAGACTTGTAAAAAAAAACATTACTTTTTTTTAAAGTAAAATATTTTAATTAAAAATTATTTGTAATTGTTAGGGAGCATCTCCAAAAGATTTTTCTATAAACTATTCCCCTCAGTCCTCCAGGATGGGCTAAAGTGCAGTGAGTGAATTAACTAATAATACAGTATCACTTTCATGTTAGTTGAGGTCATGTAAGCCTCTGCCGTCCTTGTTACCAAAGAGCTTAAATGTGTTCTACAGACTCTCAGGGTTAACAAATTGTCAAAAATTGTCAGCCACTGCTCAGTGTTCGGCCTTACCTGCCCACCAGAAAGCTTTTTGGCACTCTCGTACAGCTCATCAATGTGAGAGGTGAAAGACATAAAATCAGGAACAACAAATTTCTTCCTGAAGGCTTGTGTTAGCAGTACAATGTTGCTCTGAACACACCTAAAACAGATTGAATATTCTTAGTAAGAAAAATAAGAATATAGGCAGCTATATCTTACACCAAAAAAGAAAAGTTTGGTTACACTACCAATGTAATTAGCAAGCAGGGGTACCCAAACATGGTCCCAGTTTAAGATTTACATTCCAAATATGACCTTGGTTGCTTAACTTAACCTTACCTGTTGTCTATTGTTAATCCCCTAATATCTCATAAACAACTACTGCTTTTACATATTTGTACTATTGCAAATTTTATTACTTTTAATGCCAATCTTTTCCTCTTGACAGTTCTAATATGTCTATTAAGCTGCACATGATCTTTTACTATACTTACATATTGGACGATTTTATGCAGTCAATGTTTCTTAATTTCTCCATTAAGCCCTTTTTTTTATTTGAGCCTCATTGGCTTGATTATTTTTTGTCAGTTAACAATATTGTGTTTTTGAGCTATGATGATCCATCTTTTGTTGGCTCTGAATCCTTCTTTTGCAATTTTACTTATTGTAAGCTCTGCCTCATTCCTTTTTAGGCTGCATTTTCTAAAATAATAAACCCTTCTTTTAACACATACATTAGATATTGAGAGTATACAATCATCCAGGACTGCTGTTTAACCTTTAAAAGTTTCAACTTTATCCAAGAGACAAGGATTTTCCCTCTTACTTTTTGAAAAGATGCTTATCTAGCATCACCCCATCTGAGGTGGACTGGAGGGTGACTTTCAGCATGTCCATGCACTCCTTCAGCCTAGGATCTCCCGTTCGCAGTCCTGTGGCTTTTAAAGCCTAAAAGAATATCAAATACAAAAAGAGAGATTCAGGAGCATGTACAGAGCATTTTTTGTCACTTTTCCATCTACACTCACAAACATTAGCATTATTTGTAGAAAACATATTCACTACTACATCTTACTTAATGTTTTAAATCTTAGAATTAATACATTAATAATATTCTTGCAAATGTTTACTTAATTTTCTGAACCCTGTGTTATTCTTACAAGAATTATATAGGTATACAAGACAAGATATTTCTGATGCAATTTAAAATTACTGAACTGGAAACCAAGTTGCCTGTTACAGGGTATGCTTAACAAGTATTTTTTTACTACATTGGATACTACCCTCTTTATGAAAGCATTAAGTTCATTGCTTAGACAATAAGCCAAGTTTCATATACATAAAGCTAGAAAACGTTAATGGCAATTTAGCTACTGGTAATAATCTATCAGATTATTAACTCTACTTACAGTGATAAATTTGTGAACTGGAATTTTCTCTTGTCCTTCAGCAATTGTGTAGAACAACAGATCCTCGAGACTGGGCAATATGCCCGCTTTTCTTCTCCTAGAAAATAAGAACATTCACATTGATTTCAATACTGGCCATGAGAAAAGTTTGAAATGCAAGATATCACAGCAAGGGATATATGGCAACTAACGACATTTTCAGCATACAGTATTAAGTTAACTATTATTGCAACTTATAAGTTTGATAAATACATTCAAACCTGTTTTTAAAAGCCAAACTCTAAATTGTTCCCAAAACATGTTAAATGGAATCTGTTTTGAAACAAAATCTGAAACAATTATAAATACCCTTTGTAACAAGAGCAGAAGATGGAAAATTAATTTTATGATCAGCTAACTGCATTGTTTTCACAGAATGTCCGATTTCCAAATACACAAAAGTCTCATCGTTTCAAGATGAACAAATTAAGTCTGCAATTATCCACTCTGATCTCTCGACATCTCTCGACAGTGGCCAGGGATTTCACACAATATCCCTGAAATGCCCCTGAGAAACACTATTTTAACAGGTTTTAATGTATTCCAAAACCAACCAAAGAGCATTAGTGGTTGCAGAAACTGTTCATATTCAATCTCTTTTCACCAGCATTCATTAGCTCTAATCCTGGTGAGCCTCTTGAAGGAAGACCAAGATTAGTGTTAAATGCTGTGCAAGAAATTTTAGCAGTCTATCTTTACCTATATACAATTTAATACTATATATATATATGTAACAATAACAAACAAATGCATTACCTTCTAGCAAGAAAATCTAAAACTCTTATTATGACCCAGAGACTTATCTTGAGGAAAAAAAAACTCATACTCATTTTCTGTCTATAATTCTTCCTAAGACAGCCTTGTTTTATTATGTACTTCACTTCACAATTGACAACATGACCCATCACCATCAGCACAACTGCCAATGTCCAAAATGAGGTATCCTATTTCTTAATGATAAACCATGTTTTAAAAAGAATGCCAGAAAACTAATGAAATGTCACATTCACAATCAAATTGAAATGTTTATGCAAAACATAGATTTGAATTTGTAAATACTAATTTTGAAAAGGTAACAAAGGCCATTATACACAATAACCTTGAAATAAAAAATATTGCAGTCATATACTGTAGCTAAGTCATGTAGGTTTTAATTTATGAAAGATTTTTTAAAGCATTCTTATTGTATCCCTGAAAGAAAAAGTACTGCCAATAAAGCAGATATCCGATTTCCAGTTTGGCATGTACTTTCAGCACTGCCTGAATGTACACTAGACCTGGGTTAAATAAAGTTAAGTGCATCATTAATACATTTTATTAATTTAATATATTGATTGTACTTTTGGTAACTGAACACTAACATTTATAATTCCATCATGTATTATATGTCCTTGTAAGCTTTTCAAGTAGGTATGCATATGCTTTAGATTTCTTTCTTCTGATTATGATTATGTTCAGAAAAACTGCTTTATTGTAATATTCACGCAGTGTAAGAGGATGTTTAGACAACTTCTAATTAGTATACTTTCTTCCTATCCATTTTGTAATTCCAGAAGACATGGATGTTACTTTTTAACATTTTAATACAAGTTGGACAAAACGTATTTGTTCCGTTAATTGGATATAAGTCCCAGTACCAAAAAAGAACAATCATAGAAAAGTAGCAAATAATCAGAAGATAAAAGAAATGTGAATCACGACTAATCAAAATAACATGGGCTGGTCTTTGGCTTGAGGAATATAACTGGATGTAATCTTTTGGTATAGGACTTAATGAAGTATAAAAATCACTAGGATTCTCTGATGTGAAATAATCCTACCCATTGTCTATTTAGGGTTTGGCAAAAACAAGAGTTCATTCAAGGCTCATTGATTTACCAGCAACCTGTTAACAACAGCAGAGTGCTATATATAGACCATAGCTTCAAGAAATATTTTCTATCTTCAATCTGTAAAAGATGGTCAATGATCTAATTTAATCATTGTTTACCCTCTTTAACTGATTTAATCTTGACCTTATACGTATAATAGTCCCTGTTGAATGATCTTTTTGTAAAGCTTACTGCGGGTAAAAGTTCAATTAAAAAGGTCCCACACCAGAAAAGAAAAAACATTTTTACTATTTATGCCTCTTGTATTAAGGCAAAAAAGCAAGTGAATTGTTGTGAAACTACTCAGGGCTTTAAATTCATTTTTGAAAACAAGGGGGAATTCCCCCTTTAAGTGAAGCTCATAGGGGAGATTTCAGCATCTTGGGGGGGAATAATAGTAAACTAATGAAACGTGTATATTGAATTAATCAATACATAACACGAGCTTAATGAATTAATTGTAAATAAAGTCCTACCTTGTTGCCAATCTGTCTGTCATTGCCAACCTCATCTCCATTGAGGTACTGTACAAGAACATAACTTAGGAGAAGGATGATAGTTGTTTTTTTTTCCTCTTCCTCATCTACCCACATACTGTATCTGCTTTTCATGTTGTCAAAGGCAGGCTTTTGTGTCTCCTTTAAAGTTGTTACCTTAAAGGGAGCTGAAAAAGTCCTGGTCTGAAGGACCAAAATGGATTAATATCTCTTTCAGTGCCTCTTTAGTATACTGAACGATGGCTGGACTGTGTAGAACTACATTTACCAGTACATCTTTCATCAAGTGACAGAGGACCACAAAGTTGACCTTTGTCAGAGCTGTACCTTTTATCTGCAATTTCAGAGTTTCTTAAAAACTTTTTCAGCTTGTTTTCATGTATGTACCTTACATGAGCTGCTTACTGTTACTTATATTAGTTGATTCATCCAATATTAAGGAAAGTGTAAGACTTGTCAAGACAGCTGCATCCAACATTTCTAGGAGTGTGTTTGCAATAGCTTCCACAGTTTGATCCATCAATCTTAAGATGCTTCAAAGAAGGACATTCCATTTCTTCCATGAGTCTCACAAGTTCAACAAATTTTGAATTGGCTTACTATTTTTATGCAACAAAGTATGCCACTTTAAGTAGCCCTTTAACCCCTTCCTCACTACGAGATTGTGCAGCTTCAATTACACCAGCCACAGCAATGTTATCTGATTCTGATTCTGAGTGCTGTGTTATGAGCAACTGCGTTTGAGTGTCTAATTATAGTAGACAAATTTTTTAACACCAACTAGTAAATCTCATACTACTGAGCATGTTGCAAACTAAGCTGCTCATTTCTGTCTTTCATTTTCAGCCATGGGTATATTTTCAGCCAACTTGACTGAAACTTTGAGTGCTTTCTCCTTGCTGTTTCTCCTCATTGCATTTGTTCAGGTTGAGGGGCATTTTTTCTTGAGAAATGCTCCATTTCTGATCGAATTAACCAACTAGATTTGGAATCTTTTGCGTTGAACTAATGTTAACTAATTCAAAATCAAAAGCAACCCATTTTCTATCCCTATTTGTCTGCCTATAACGAATGTGAGATGTGCAACGAAACCACACAAATAGTGTAACTTAACCAAATCATGCAGTAATGCCGTACAACATGCTGGGAAACCTCAATCTGACAGAGCATACATGTGGATTGATTTAGGCTAATTCTGCTTGGCAGATAGCTTGCCAATAATTGTATGTTTGAAATTCCCACATTATAAATGCTGGATTTGCGGTAATAACTAAAATTGTGCAGCATACCCACAATCCCGTGCCGAAATTCAAGCCCCAACTAACAATAAATTACTTTTCACATGTGTACAAAGCAAAGGCAAGTGTTAGTTCTCTAATTGTGTAACACTTAAAACTGAATTTGAATTTTGACAAACACCTAATAATGTAAAGGAATAAGTAAAGGTTTATTCCATGTTGAAAGAAAAGAAAAGAAACAATGTTTCACCTTTGGAGCCTTCTGTAGAAGCCAAAGCAGCCTACGCATGCTGACACAGCTACCTACTTGAACTACCTAATAATATAATAAGATAATGTGTTAAAACAACAATTTCTTCCTAAGTATATTGTTCTTTAAATTTAAATGAAATTAAAACTTAAGGCTCGTAAATGTAATGACATACTGTATAATGTTTCATATTTACAAGGGCTGAGTGCTACATAGCAGTCTCACAAAACTATAGTTAAAAACACAATACTGCACATCAATATTGCACAAACCAAAAGTTGTTTATACATTGTATCCAAATTTTGGTCACCATGTCACAAAAAAGATACTGCTGTTCTGGAATCAGTCAAGAGAAGTGTAATCAGATATATCCTGTGTTCAAAGAAAGGACTGACTAAAAGAACTAACTTGTTTTGTCTCAAGTATGCAAGTATTTGAAATCCTTAAAGGACAAAGTCAAACCAATGAATTTCTTCAGATTCAACTGAATAGAGAATACAATGTGGAAGATGCAGCCGTCCACAGGTGTGCTACTTTAGGCACTACAGTGTACAGAGATGACGTGCAGAACCTCCTTAATTTTCCCCAATCGTCAAATGCAGGACAGCACTACTCTATAACTCTGCCAGGTGTTGGAGTGAACTCTTAAACTTCACTTAAATTTCCCAACGACAGTGCCACTGCCCATTGATATGCTGTCAGTCGTGGTTAATTGCGCTTTAATCTCTAACACCACTGAAAAAATACCCAAATAAAATCTAGATCACGTAAAATCTTAAAGGGTATTAAAAATTTTGGCTGATCAGATAATGGATGGCAAAGTTAAAATGATTTTTTTAATTATTTTTGGCTTCTAACAAAAGTATTGTGTACTGAGATTTAACAATTTTTACAAAGTGTTCGGGTGGAAAAAGGTTGAAATTGTTGCTTTAAAAGTACCCTGTAGCTGCATGTGATGCACAGACAAATAAGTACAAAGGTACATCAAAATTAAATGTTTTTAGTGTTAGTGCTTTCATGTTAGTGTTAGTGTATACTAGTGACAAACAATTGAATGCCTTTTCAACGTCAATGTCACTACCACAGTGATAATTCTAAATGCCATCACAATGTAACAATAGTAACAATAATATTAAAAGACCTGGCTTTTTAAGCACTATTTACTGTAAATAATAATTAATAATTATTGCTTTAATATAATA